TGTTTCCAAGGGTGGGAGAGGTCTGAGGTGTGAATTGGTCATTACAATGTGTGACAAGCTTGGTAGGAACATCCTGTGTTCAGTGTTTTGTCCATCTGAGTACCTTGAAAACACTTTACATGCATTTTTCATGATGAAAAAAGCATCGGGAACTGGAAGAGTTAAAAAAAAAATTTAAACCGCAAATGCTTATAAACGCATTTAGCCGCGTTTTGAGTTTGAAACACTGATAAAATCGACTGCTGAACGCAAGTTTTCTGTGTTCAAAAAAACGACTGTAAACTCAAATGCCTGTAAACGACTGTAAACAAAGATATGTACATGGACACATAGGAAAACTTTAGGGTGAGTTCAGGGGCTGCTGAAAAAAACGCTGAACAGCTGCTAAACATGAGTTTATTAGCTGCAGTGTACATGAGCCCTTATTGTGTCATGTTAATCTAAATTACAGACTACTGTGCTGATCATTTTTCTCAATATTCTTACATTTCAATTGCAACTGATTTAAAAGCTGCACCTAAGGGCCTATTCACATGGGTGTAGAGAGCCGTGTACCAACAGAACAAAGCATATTTCTATGCTTGGTAATCACAGGTATTGCATACAAATCAGTGACAGGCTGCCAGACACTATGGCTGTATACACATCTGAACAGTTTCATGCATACAATTACATATGTACACAAACACCTGTACCTCTCAGGAGCAGAAATATATTGAATTTTGTTGGTGTATGGCCCTTTGCACTCATGTGAATGAGCTCTAACTAAATAAATTTGTTCACACTATTTCCATTAAGCTGTCTCTTTCTACACAGCACCACACAAGTTTGGGTGCACGCAGCACGTGTCCTGTACACACCATATACAGTATGTATAGTGGTGTGCAGAAAAACTCAGCTCAATAGACATTATGGAGGCTATTAACTAAAACTGGAGCACTGTTCAATTTGTTCAGTTAAGCTTTGACAATAAAACCTGAAAGCTGATTTCTATGCAGAGCTGCACCAGATTTTGCACTCTCCGGTCGTAGTAAATCTCCCCCAAAGTGAACAAAGTTATGGACTACTATGCTTTTTTACCTAGAGTTTTTTTTTTCTGAACTGCAAAATGTCGACAAATGTCTACCAAAAATCATATTACACTAACATATCTGCATTTGTTTCAAAGAGTTTTATTGGTTTTAATGCACAAAACAATGTACCAAGAGATCAATGGCAACCATGAAGAAAACCAAATAAACAGGAGAGGCATATTAAGATAAAATGGGTGAAAGGGCGTAAGCCCACTCCAACACGATACACATTACGATTAGTCAAAATGAAGAATTTACAGAACAACCGAGAAATAATCCCATACTAAAAGCAAATGTTGAATCATAAAAAAAAAAAAAACACAAAGTACAAGGGAGAACTAAACTTCTGGTGTGGCTAATATAGGAGAAAGTGTGAAGCAGGGAATAGTCCAGGAGGTGGAGTTCTCCGGTGGAAAACTATAAAAGGGAATTAGGGGAGAGGGTAAGAGAAATAAGAAAAAAAAAGAGCAGGGGAGGGGGAGGAGGATAGAGGAAAAGGAGGGGGGAAAAGGGAGAGATAAACAAAAGGAGTATCGAAAGAGGAGAGGGAGAGGTAGGCTGGAAGAAAGGAAAGGTCAATGGGGAATGGTCCCTGACCTCCCTCCACCCTCCCCAAGTCTAAAGTATAGAATCCTATATTCTAGAAATCCCAAAAGGGACACATGGAAAGCATAAGGAGATATGTTGTTCTCTTCACCAGTTCTATGTGGACTAGGATCCATATTTGCATTTATGATGCTCAACAATGGTGGAATTATTACCCTACCATAGACTGCAGAGCAATACATGATTCTAATATTCATAAATGAAATAAAACTACATATCAGACAGGAAGTGACAGACTGCAAGAGTCTTCATTATGTGACCAAGGAACATATACAGTTGTGTTCAAAAAAAATAATAGCAGTATGTTGAAAAAAGTGAATAAAGCTCAAAATCCTTCTAATAGCTTTTATTTCCGTACACACAAATGCATTGGGAACACTACACATTCTATTCCAAATCAAAACATGAAGAAAATATATCACATTTGTGTTGTTCCTCTAAAAAAAAAATTGAAGAAAAGTGAATATTAGACTGTTCAAAAAACATAGCAGTGTTTGTATTCTTCTTTACAAACTCAAACATTCACTATATAAACTGAAAAATGTTGGAAGATTTTGCTTTCCTTTGAATCACTTAATTAATATTTAGTTGTATAAGCACTGTTTCTGAGAACTGCTGTACATCTGTGTTGCATGGAGTCAACCAACTTCTGGCACCTGTGAACAGGTATTCCAGCCCAGGATGATTGGACTACATTCCACAGTTCTTCTCTATTTCTTGGTTTTACCTCAGAAACTGCATTTTTGATGTCACCCCACAAGTTTTCTATTGGATTAAGATCCGGGGATTGGGCTGGCCACTCCATAACGTCAATCTTGTTGGTCTGGAACCAAGATGTTGAACGTTTACTGGTGTGTTTGGGGTCGTTGTCTTGTTGGAACACCCATTTCAAGGGCATTTCCTCTTCAGCATAAGGCAGCATGACCTCTTCAAGTATTCTGATGTATTCAAACTGATCCATGATCCCTGGTATGCGATAAATAGGCCCAACACCGTAGTATGAGAAACATCCCCATATCATGATGCTTGCGCAACCATGTTTCACTGTCTTCACAGTGTACTGTGGCTTGAATTCAGTGTTTGGGGGTCGTCTGACAAACTGTCTCCGCCCACTAGACCCAAAAAGAACAATCTTACTTTCATCAGTCCACAAAATGTTGCCCCATTTCTCTTTAGGCCAGTCAATGTGCTCTTTGGCAAATTGTAACCTCTTCAGCACGTCTTTTTTTCAACAGTGGGACTTTGCGGGGGCTTCTTGCAGATAGCTTGGCTTCACATAGGCGTCTTCTAATTGTAACAGTACTCACAGGTAACTTTAGACCTTCTTTGATCTTCCTGTAGCTGATTGTTGGCTGAAGTCCTTGCCATTTTGGCTATTCTTCTATCCATTCGAATGGTAGTTTTTCGCTTTCTTCCACGTCTTTCAGGTTTTGGTTGCCATTTTAAAGCATTTGCGATCATTTTAGCTGAGCAGCCTATCATTTTCTGCACTTCTGTATATGTTTTCCCCTCTCCAATCAACTCTTTAATCAAGGTACGCTGTTCTTCTGAACAATGTCTGGAACAACCCATTTTCCTCAGAATTTCAGAGAGAAATGCACTGTAACCAGCATGTACAACATTTACTGCCTTCCTTCCTTAAATAAGGGCAATAATTGCCACCTGTTTTTCAAAGAATAAATGACCTCACTAATAGAACTCCACACTGCTATTATTTTGAACATGCCCCTTTCAATTAGTGATTCAATTACACAGAATCAGCAGCATGCATGTCATGACTTTTGGGTCTGTTGGATTTCTATTACTCTACTACATCTGCTAGTAAATTATTTGCCATGTAGAAATATTTCTACCAAAAACAGTGATTGATCAGGTTGCTGATGTCTGACTGCTATTATTTTGAACACAACTGTATATCTGTCACGAATTAACTGTAGCCAACCGAGACGGAAGAACAACAGAGAGTATGTTACCCCAACATTTCATATTGATATGTGCCTGTTGTATGTAAATGTATCCTGTTCTCCTAGTATTGCTTCATTTGTGTGAAATCCCTGGTGTTCCTGCCAGTCCCTCCACTTTCCTATTAAAAACTGACCACAAAAGGCATGAGAGCAAGCGTGGTCAGTTCTCTAGCTGTGCTGGGAATTCAGTGTGCTCTCCTCCAATGATCAGACTTGGAGGACACCCATTTCCCAGGAAAATCAGTGTACTGCTGTTTCTCCTCGACTAGCTCTCTGAGCTCCTTAGGCAGCTGAGAACAGAGGGGAAAAAAGTGTTTATAATTTTTTATTTTATATCTATACACAAATGTTTTAGCATTCATTTCTACTTTAAAACTGAATGGGTTGTTTTACAAGGTGTGGGTTATATATACTTTAAATCCACTTGGGTGCAGGACGTTGGTTCAAACACTAAAGCACACCCATAATAAAACTACAAAGTAAATGGTGTCCAAATTGTTCAATAAATATATTGAACAAAGGGATGATGGAAAGCAGTGCTTATAACATGCTTTGCCACAGCTCTCTCGATCCCTGATATATAATCTGGTTTTCATAAATTATACACATGTACAAGGAAATTTGGCATGAAAAGAGGACTGCATGATTGTTCTTCCCAGCCACAGTTCTGCTGTAGCTCTACCGAATTTCTGGCTGGAGAAAACATAGCATAGTCTATAAAGTTGAAAGAGAGAGAGAAAGTGAGAACAAGAAAGAGAGCGAGAGAGAGGAAGAGAAAGAGAGAGAGAGCAAAAGTGAGAGAGAAAAAGAGAGTAAAAGAGAGAGAGAAAAGTTAGAAAGAAATGGAGAGAAAATGAAAAAGTGAGAGTGGAAGAAAAAAAAAAGAAAGAGCAAAAGTGAGAGAGAGAGAGAGAGAGAGAGAGAGAGAGAGAGCAAAAAAGAGAGTGGAGAGAGAGTTAGAAAGAAAGAGAAAGAAAGAAAGGAAGAAAAAGCGAGAATGAGAGAGAGAAAGCAAACATGAGAAAGAAAGACAGATAAAGTAAGGGAGATGGGAGAGAGAGAGAGAGAAAGAAAAAGAGTGCAAGAAAGTGAGCAAGAGAAAGAGAGAGAGAGAGAGAGTGACAGAGAGAGTAAGAGAGGAAGATAAGAGAGAGAAAGAGAGAAAATGAGAGGGAACAAAAGAGAGAAAAAGACAAAGACGGGAAACAAAAGAGATTGAGGGAGAATGTGATTCTTCTTAAATTGAAGCTACTTTTTTTTCACCTTAAAAAAAATTGCACTGAGTCACTATACACAATAACATCACCCTAAACTAATTAATTTTTAAACTATGTCTCTCTTCTGCCAACATACTCTGTAGGACCAGGGGCGGACTGACCATTTGGAAACTCGGGTACTGCCGAGGGCCCGGGGTCAGTAGGGGGCCCCATGAGATGCCCCTGGTACCTTTTTCATAGGCTTTTTTTGAGTTTGGGCAAGGACACAGGGGCCCCATGATCCCCTATTGCCGGGGGCCCCATGAGTTGTCAGTCCGCCCCTGTGTAGGACATGTCAGAAAAGCTGCAAATGTTTTCTTTTTCATGGCTCAGTCCTGTCTTCTTACTAGGATGGAGCAGCCACTAGAAAGATTGCCCCCTAATACTACAGGAATAAACACCATCCTTTTCCTGAGGACCACGCATGCACAGTCTGCTCTCTCTCTCCTGTAGCAGCCACTGAACTCATCTGAGCTGACATCTGCACAGACTTCTGGAAAAGCACTATGCTCCTGCCTGCAATGTTAAGGGGCACTCTTCCTAACTGCTGCTCTGTCCTAGTAAGAAGATAGGATAGAACCGTGAAAAGCATTTGCATTTTTTTCTGAGGGGCTACAGATATGTTAGAGGAGGAGAGGCATAGTTTTAAAATTTGTGTATAGAGACTGCATGAGTGATTTTTCATGAGTGAACTAACCCTTTAATAGCACTGTTTAGTAAACAGTCACAGCTGTGAAAAAAAAAACATGGCAGTCACCTTATGCTATTGTATAGTGTATAACTCCCCTAACTTTAAAAAGTGGGAACAAGAGGGCAGGCCTGATTGGTGCTGGTGCAAGCCAAATAAGTCTGCAATACCTTTACATTCATAAAGGAATTACTGCATTTGAAAAGCCGTGAAAACACTTCATCATCTAAATTGAACTTGACGTTGCCAGAACACTCATAACAAAGTCCAGTGCAATTTCCACTGAAACCGATATGCTTGTGTCTGCTTTCATTGTAGTATTCAGCAGCAATAATCTGTTGGCATGGTTTCTTGAGTGGAAACACTAGCATGTACCACCAAATGGGATATCCTTTGGAAATGTTATTTTATTATACTGCCAAACTATTTGTAGATTTTATGGAAGTGTATAATAAGAAATAAAATATGGCACAAAGCAGTCAAGTTTCACTGTTTTATTGAGGGGTTTTGGCTTCTTGGACCACTTGAAGCCAATTAATTACTTGAAATCTTAGCAGATAGATGGAGGGTTCTAACATGGAGTCATATTGTGAGCCTCGTTCTCTTTTAGCACTTAGAAACATTTTGTGACACTATTATACAAGCTCCACTTGTTTGCACCCTCCACTGCCACATTTGGCACTTTCTTGGGGTGTAGCAGATACCTGGTTTTAACAGGTACCCGCTCCCACTTCTGGCTCAGTTCACCACGGCTCCCCTCCTCTCCTGCAGTCTTTTGGGACACTTTATAGGTCCCATAAGACTACGGGTCCATTCACAAGGCACAGCAAAGACTTGCACATGCACAATAGGAAACGATCTGTCTGAAGGCTTCACTTCCGGTTTCCCTTACTGAAGATGCTGGCGCCGGGAACCCGGAGGCTAGTGAAGAACTAGCCCGAGTGATACTTACCTGGACAAGTAAGTATCATTTTATTAAAAGCTTAGCTTGTAAGCTCCAAGGAGCAGGGCCCTCCTAACCCTCTTGTGTTGAACTGTATTGTTGCTGTATTGTCTCCCGTTATATTGTAAAGCGCTGAGCAAACTGTTGGCGCCATATAAATCCTGTATAATAATAATAATCAGCTACAGTATTTGTATCTGCTGACTTCAGGGGCGGACTGACCATTCGGGTGCTTGGGCCCTGCCCGAGGGACCAGGGTCAGTAGGGAGCCCTGTGAGATGCTCCTGGTACCTTTTATAGGCTTTTTTGGGTGTGGTTTGAGTGTGGGCATGCACACAGGGGCCCCATGATCCCCTATTGCCCGGGGGCCCCATGAGTTGTCAGTCCACCCCTGGCTGACATTTAATTATTTGGGGAGCCTGGAACACCTCTTTAAGCTTGCTGTGCATATGTGAATTTTGGAATTCCATCTTAGCTTAAATGAAAATGTAATCATAAAGAATTACACTGATAACAGTCAATCAATGACTCCCTGCACAACTGATTTGTAGAAAAGAGGCCAGTTGCTATCATATTATGCATAATTTATTAACCTATTAAAATATTTTCTCAAATAGACCGCATTTTTCTGGCACTGGAGTAATCATGGCTCTCTGTTCAGATGTGAGTCTGACCATACCCTTTTTACAAGCGACCTACTTTTTTTTTTTTAAACCTGCATTTAAAAGACTGCACAGAAGCATGAGGCTATGTATCTCCCCTATTTTGATGATGAACGGTTTGGATTTGTATGTGCAACACTTGCTTGTTCTACCCTTTAATTTTGCAAATGTCTTATAAAAATGATTTACAACTTAAGATAAAGATTTTATGGTACAAACAAATAAAAGAGGCTGATCTTGAGAATGTCAATATGAGAAAAAGCGTTGAGAAGTGACGTCAGACACTGAGTCAGAGCCAGAAGTCGGGTGACTGCCATTCCTGTTTGTACTAATCCCATGTTTTGCATTCTACACTCCTATAAGCAGAATTTTATTGGAATAAAAGCGTTTTTCCGTGTTTACTACACTATGAGCTTTGCTTTCTCTATTTTGTCTTTTGGGGAGATTTAATGTGCCTGTGGAGGTTTTAACAATGTATCCAGACGATGGGAATAGTTCCTGGTGGCTATAGAATATTGCATCATGCCTTACATGACCCTATGAGATCACAGGGTTGCTTTTTCTGGTGAGAGTCTATTTGTGTGTGATTCCTGCATGGTGGTGTATTTGATTGATGAGGAGATCTGGTTGCATGCACATCTATTTCACAGGGTATTTGGGGCATTGTACATAAAGATTAATGTAAGCATATATTTATAATTTGATTGCCAATAAGCACTATAGTATAGATGTGTTTTTTTAGGTTTTTTTTTTTAAGCAAACCCAGAGGATTTCAGGAACAGAGTAATATTTGGGTATTAGATCTTGGAAAGGAGGGAGATACCCAAAGGACATAACTCTAAAGACATCAAGATTGATATGACCCATTGAGTCCATTTCTTACTGAGTTCATAGCATGGAGGTGTTATTGAGTCTTTGGAAGAAGTATTCACAATGAACTGAGAACATTGATCATTTTTTAGTGCACTGATACATGGAAATGCAATTTTTGAGTAACTTTATGAAAGATATATAATTTGAAGAATTACTGTATTAGTATTACAGCATTGATATTTTAGATTGATTTACTGCACTTTACTGTGTCCAGGGGGATAAAATGGTTACAGCTGCTTGGGGTATTTTATTTTGGGAGGGATTTTTCAAGAGCGTTGGATAATATAAAGTTGTAGAAGATGGGTACCGACTATGTAGGTCAAAAAAAAATATATCTCTGGGAGAGTCAGGTCCTAAGGAACAGTAAAGCCACTAGAAAGCAGGGATATGAATACCAATAATTATGTAAAAAAAGAAAAAATCCCAACCCAATGTAAAGTTGGGATATGGTTTTAAGCAGGTTTATGGACTCAAAATCTGTGGTCCCCGTGGGAGAAAGATTTTGCTTGCCTACAAGAAGGGTAGCAGTGCCAGATATAGGACTGAAGTAGGCAAAACATGAATCTGGTGGATCAGGCATGCCTCAATTGGGAGCACCACCAAAGAGACAATTTCTCTGAAAGGACAAATTGGCATTTCCACAGTGCCTTCTGCAAAAGGACGAAAGTAATTGTAATGTGCCACAACAATTTAGAGTCATCTAAGAGGTCAGCACAGTTGAAATGAAATGCTTCATGAATTTGCATAAGCAGATGCAAAACTCTAGTAGTGAGAGTTGAGACAAAGGAATCCCTCCCAAGTATGTGTTCCAGTCAGACATAGTTTACCAAACTACAGGTAGAATCTCTGATAGAAGAGGATGGAGAGTCAATACAGTTAGTTAAAACTGGGATCTAAATAAGGACATCAAATGAGCATCAGTGTAGACCCCAAATATAAAGACATTATTTACTTATGATAAAATGGCTATTGAGGTGAAGGACTAGGGAGTCATTCAATGAGTGGGAACAATTGTACATGAATTCCCTATCCGGGGGGACAAATCGGGAGGAGGAGACCATGATAACATAAGAGTGTCCCAGTCCTCACACAGCCTTTTTCCAGAAAGGGTGGTACTGTGAAAACAGTTGTGGCAGTAGAAACCATAGACGTGTCCATAACTGGAGGTGGATGTAGCCATAGACATTCTGTCATTCCTGCAATGCATTTCGTTATTACATGGGTCGACTTTCTCAAGAGGAAGCATTTAAAAAAATGTGCAAGGGGAAAGCCTTAAAATTATGGCAAAATTGCACCCTATACATCACGTACACAGCATCCGCAATGACATCAAGGTGCACGGATGAAATGTGGTGCCATGACTCCAAGAAGGAGTGAAAACAGAGTAAAACAAGACAAAGCAAAAATGTTTATCAATTTACTGAAAAAAAACATTCAATGAGTGTATTAATCCACAAAATATTGAAAAATGCTATTTTTTCTCTCTTTTTTCTCTCTCATCTCCTCTTTGACTTTCTTTCTTCCTTTTACTTTTTTTTTTTATATAAAACAGGCAAAATTGATTGAATCGTTAAGGTCAGGAGCAATATTGGCCTATAAATCCACCTGCTTTTCAGTCTGGACAAGTCTTTTATCAAAATCACCCTCTCTTTCATTTTATGTATTCTATGAAGCACTCAAAAAAAGGATTTTCCATACACTTCTTATGTTTGTAAAGAACATGATGAGCTGAAGGCAGATTTCTGGATGTCGTGTCCGATATATGGTCAGATATCCTTATCCTGAAGGGGCACGTTGTATTTTCAACATAAACCCTCCCTCCCCCCCCTCCCCGCAGTCACAGAGGAGGATGTAAATCTTCCCTCTGTACTGCAGTTGGCAAATTGTGAGGAATATAGAACCTTTCTGGTGGAAAGCTCTGTCTTTCACTGTATACAAATATACACACAGAACGGCATTTACATTTGTAAGGGCCTTTCCTCTGGCAGCAACATACTGTATGTATTTCTCTTGGTATCAAAAGATCACTCATAGACTTTGCCTATCTATAGGTGATTAAAGGTGAAGGGGACATATATGTAGCGATCATTGTACCCTCCAGAAGCCACTGTCATTGTCACTGTAAA